AACCCCAGCCTGGACGTCCAGGAAATTTTTGCAGTGACGCGCCGGGGCCCGATGATCACGAAGGCTCCCGCAGAATCCTGTGTTATGGCCGCATGATCCAGGAAGTATGAAGCCGAAAACCCAGCTTTTCTTACCGTCTGGACATATATTGACGAGTGAAACAAACACTGCAAGTCGAGCACCCGGTTCCGAACCTGGCTTTCAGAGGGGGCCTCATCGAGGACTTATCCTAGAAAAGGGACAGAACACACAGGTCCCGGGAAGCCCTACAAATAAACTAGCAGAGGTTAACACACAACCACCAGTCTCATTAGATACACATATATATTCATATATACATATATTAGACATGGATCGTACTCACCCACCATGGTTCCCGCGTCGGAGCTCTGTCCGGAGAAGCCTCTAGACCGGACCATCAGTAAGGTGGTTACTATGATTTAGCCATAGAACCAACCAAAAACATCATAGGTCCAGTAGGAGACTGTTATACAGGAAGCTTCCACCTAACCTCAGTCAGGTGGAGAGATGGTGGGAAGAAAAGGGTAGATGGATACCTAAGTATAACTCTGATCTGGATGAAAGCGCTGACGCCTTGTCTGGATCACATCCCTTAGGTCTTGCCTACCTCCCTTTGACCCACGATACTTCCTACCCCTACCCGCAGGCGGAGGAGGAGCGCGAGTCGCGACACTTGCCTTCTGTGCTCGTCTCTGATCCTCAAACCGAGACGGGCCAGGACTCCTGGGTTGTTCGGGCTCAGACCTGGACCTTCGTGTAATGAAGGTTTTGAAGGATGCTGAGCGCGCCTTCGCCTCCCTGAACTTTTCGACCACCATCTCAACGGATGTACAAAAAAGTTCAGAGGGCGAAACCGGGGCATCGAGAAGAAAGCCCCTTTCTTTCTTCCCGATGTCTGCCAGGTTTACCCACAGATGCCTCTCCGTCACTACCATTGCCGCCATAGATCTGCCCATGGCAGAGGCAGCCTGCTTGGTAGCACGGAGAGCAAGATCCGTGGTACGGCGCAATTCAGCCATCTCATCAGAAGAAAGGCCCTCGCCTTTATCCAGGTCTTTCAGCAGGTCAGCCTGGTATGCCTGGAGCACCACCATAGTGTGCAGCAAAGCAACAGCCTGACCTGCTGCTGCGTATGCCCTGCCATTCAATTGCCTCGATATTCGCATAACTGGTATGCTGAAACCGATGGATGCGTGAGGAAAACGGCCTCTTCCATTCCTTCTCGATCTCAGTATGGAGATCAGGAAGGAAAGGAAGGCTTACCTGAGCTGGAGGGTTATGGCCAGAAAGATAACCTTCCTCGAGACGATCTCGCAATATCACTTCCTTAGTCCGCTTCCACGGCAAGTCAAGCCTCGCTGTGGCGAGATCCATAACCTCTAAGAGCTCATCATACGCAGGGCAGGAGGATTGAGAAGGCTCAGCCTCAGCTTCTTCCCTCTCTTCATCCATTTCCTGCTCTTCCTGGGCTGAACCCAGCAGAGCACTGGCCCCTGGATCAGATGATGTTAAAGAGGGAACATCATCCTCCAATGGCTGTCTCTCGCCCACCGCCGATAAGCGCGAGAGGGAAAGCCCCTCTTTAAACTCATCGGCCAGGTCCACCTGAGATCGCCATAATGAATGGAGATAGCTCTTACTTTTTCCTTGGAAATGCACATTTCAAACAGAACAGTCAATGAAGACGAAGAAGAGAATGATGTGTGCTCCCAGCGCCTATTTATATTATAGTCGCACCGGTAGTGATGTCATGGCTGTCGCCGGCCAACGAGTTGGTGTTTTTTCAATGTATGCTTCAGACACGGGTCACAACGAGGCATTCCCCATAGCGACCCCTATAGGACGCAGTTCGAAGTTCCCATGAAAGGGAAGCAAACTTGATATGACTTAACGAACAAATGCAAAACCAACCGAAAAACACCTAACCAGGTGACAAAAATCTTAAAGGGATAGTTCACCCAAAAATGAAAATTCTGTCATTAATTCCTCACCCTGATGTCGTCCCAAACCTGTAAGACGTTCGCTCATCTTCGGAACACAAATTAAGATATTTTTGATGGAATCTGAGAGCTCTCTGACTCTCCCATAGACAGAAAGTATCCTTACACGATCAAGGCACAGAAACATAGCAAGGAGATCGGTAAAATAATCCATGTTCCGAAGATGAACGTCTTATGAGGTCTTACGGGTTTGGAACGACATGAGGATGAGTAATTAATGACATAATTTTCATTTTTGGGTGAACTATCCTTTTAAGTAGAAATATACACATTAAAAATTTTCTTTTTTACACATCTAAAAAATCTTTTTGTCCAATTATATTCTCTCTAGAATGATCATGTCCCTCCCCCAATACCTTAAACTTATTAGCAACTTGCAAATCATGATTTTACTGTTATATGTATATGTGTATATATATATATATATATATATATATATATATATATTTTATTTATTTATTTTTTTTAAAGGACAGTATCTTCGATATGTCCCACCTAAACTTCCTGCTTCCAGGAAATGCGTCAGTACAGGGAATAAAACTGCTCTCATCAGACAAGCTTAAGAAAGAAAATTGCTTACTCCACCAGCCCTCTCATTTTTAGGCCTACCCTACTTGCTTTCATCCTGTCAAATGATGGCATACCTCATTGCCTTCACACCCTTAGAGCCCTGAGGACTTTGTTTTTCTCTTTTCCGACTGAGCTCCCACCTAAAGAAAAGTGCACTGATAGAGAGGCAGTGGTCCAAAACTGCTGGTACACAAGGAAGGCAATGGTGCCTGGCTCTTTTGTGCGGTTCAGTAGCTCTGGCAAGGCCACTTCAGTAAAAAATACCCTCAGAAACTCCCTGCTTTTCAGCCATTTACTGAGGAATTTATCCCTTAAAGGTAAAGTCATGCGACTTCCTTACGTGAAAGATGTGCGTTTGGGAGAACTGGGCTGGTTTGGGTGACCAGAAAGCTTTGTGTTTGTGTGTCACGGTGCATCAGTAAGGAACTGCATTCACACAAAGCAACTGGCAGCAGGTTTTTAAAAACTAACTCATTCTTAACCACAGGTAACCGGATATCCCTTTAAATGTGCCGGTTTATTATACAAATAAGCCTAGAGCGAGGCTTGCAGTCTGTGGATGATTCACTTGAGACAGAAAAGCGTTTCATGAAGTCCTAAGGAATACCGCAGTCATATTAAGCAGAAGTCACAAAAGCTTCGTTTGTTTACTTATGTTCGGGAGTCTGAATCATTTCCGACGTGTGTTTACGCAACAGTTAGCAGACAGTTGCGTCCTTCATCTCACTCCGTTTCCTCTTTTGAGTTTTGATGAGTATGTTTTTTACTAAGGTGTCTAATTTTGAACATGCCACACCCCAGTGCAGAGTTTCGATATTAGAGGCTGATGGCAAAAAGAGTTATGTAGATTCGCAAGGATCTCTAATAGGCAGTGACGCAGGTTGCCGGCAGCCTCTGCTGAGTCTGGTAACTCAATGCTGCTGCTTTCTTACAGGCTGTTTTCCAGGATCCTTTGATTGCTTTTATGCCCATTGACGTAGCAGCCACGTAAATGCCTTTATTTGTTGCCTGAGGGGAAAGAGTACAGTCATGTGAAAAATTTAAATCCAAGTAGTATTATTAGGGTTGTTAATTTAGTCTACTAAATCATATTAATGATATATATTATAATATAATATAATATTAAATATTATTGTATTATATGAGATATTATTGTTGTTAGTATTATTATTATTTTAGATAGATAAATAAAATAAGCTGGCGGAAAACAAGTGTCTCCTGACTTTACTAAATTTTGTGGTTATTTATTTAAAAATAAAAATGTAAACGTTGTCTCATTTATTTATTTAAAATATAAAAATGAAATCAAAATAAAGAATACATTATCTTTTAAAGCACTTTTTAAATATCTTCATTTGGGCTCTTTGTGTGTTTGTACACTACTGTTCAAAATTTTAGGTCAGTTTTTTTTTTTTATTAATTAATTTATAGTTATTCAGTAGGGGTTGCCTTAAATTGATCAGTAAAGACTTACATTTTTACCAAAAATATTTTAAATAAATGTTGTTCTTTTGAACTTTTATTCCTCAAAAATATTAATGGATCATGTGACACTAAAGACTGGAGCAATGATGCCAAAAATTCTGCTTTACATCACAGAAATATATTCCATTTTAAAAATTCTAAACTTTCTAAAGTATCATCACAAAACAAATTTCATTTTAAAATATATTAATATTCATTTTTAAATAGAGATATATATATTTTTTTTTTCATCACAAAACAAAAAAAATATATATATATATATATATATATATATATATTACTTGTAATAATATTTCACAGTATCACATTTTTACTAAATGCAGTATGAATATTTATAAAAATATTATTATATGAATATATTATAATACTGAGTCCATTGTGCGCCTTAATTATTAGTTATTAAACTTTGGCCTTATATTGATATCATGGCCTTGAAGTGACGCTGAGCCCTTCCCTTACTCATTCTGAATCTCTTCTTATTTCTTGTTTTAGATTGTCATAGCCAAATCACCTGTGGCCCCTTTTGCCGTGCTGAGCTACACCGTTCAGAAGGAGGGCATCCGTCTTGAGGGTGAGTGTGCTAGATAGACAGCATACTGACACAACTGCACCTCATGAACTCATGCCCATGTAATCTCCTGAAATAATCACAGTATGTCATGCTAAAACATGACACCGATGTAAGGCAGGTAAGTACAGGTCTAAGTACCAGTGGAAATGAAAATGATTCTTAAAGAAGTAATCATGATTTCACACAGGAACTGTATAGGCGGCATTAATTCGGTATATTGAAATGTTTAAGGGATTTTTTTTGTTGATCTAGGTCATACTAGGTCATACAGTGTGTATATATATATATATATATCTTTTGAGGTTAAGTTTTGTTTTAGTCATGCAAGATTTCAGTTGTTGCAGCCTAATCTAGATTTTAGTAACTGAAAGTCACAACTCAAATTTTTTTACTGAGTGTCAGTAATCTGAATCATAAAAAAATACCACGGTTGGTTTGAAAAATGCTAATAAGACAAATACACTCATTTGTGTGTGTGGTTTGTGTTGTTAAACCTTCTGGGTCAGAACTTCTGCCCACTGCATTTTAACGTCCAGGACCTCTGGCTGTCCTGTCAGGACCATTTGAATTCATCTGTGGGCTTCACAGCTTACCTCGCGGCGGTTTGTGTGGATTCCCAACACCACAAAACTTTAATGGGAAACAGGATATCAGAGGAAAAACATAGTGGGAATGTTTTGGCTCTTCGGCAGAGGTTTATGGTGGTGTATGTGTGGTGGATTTTTAACAGCACTTGGAAGAGGATTCAAAAGTAATTCACCTTGATGTACCCGAGTTCATTTTGGGGTTTGGAATTGAAGTCGTTTGCTTATGCATTTTTACAGAAAGCTATGATTGATATCGGTGGTATCAGTTCAGCATAATTTAATAACAAAGACTAATCAAACAGCTCACACTTCCTGTTAATTTCTGTGCCACAGCTGATATGAGCTCACATTCAGGAGCTTGTTCTTGTTTTTGTTGGGTTTTATTAGAGGAAGCAAGCACTAAATGAGCACATTTGGTGCTTTTGTTTAGAGAGCTGTTGTAGCTTTTGTATGAGAAATGTAGTAAAAAAAAAGTTTAAAGCTGCAGCTAACAATTATTCTGTTAATTGTTTTAATAATTTTGTTGATTAATTGGATATTCAACCTGAAATCAGCTCGGATTTGAAAAGTCAGAGAAAAAAATATATATCTCACCTCTGCGTGGGATAGTACAGGTGACGAGAACGTGCAAAATAAACTACAAACATGCAATGTCATAGTCATTGTTATGTCGTCAATTAAGTCATGAAGTTACCATAAAGGCGATTAAAGCTGCCTTAAAAATGTGCATGCAGATAAGTATGTTATATATGAGTCACTTTTAAGAATGTGTTGCTGCGTCTCAATTCGCATACTATCCATCCTAAATAGTATTCGAAAATAGAATCAGTATGTCCCAAATCATAGTACGTTTAAAAAAAAGTATGCCAAAGATTCCCGGATGGTCTACTACTTCTGGTTAGAATTTGAAGTGCAAATCGATGCACACTCTAACGGCTAATATTGCCCACAACACATTAGGCGGTGAACGAGGATTCGATTAGAACTACAAACACGCATAAAAAGTGTTAAAAACTACAAACATGGCGGATATACGCGACCGACTGACAGGTAGAGAAAGGGATTTGAGTGAAAAATAATCAATGTCTAACCCTTAACTGTCACCGTCCCACCTGTGGGATGCTTGGCACTCTTTTTTTGTTGTCCTTTTTCTCTATCAAATCTTTTAGTAATCATCATATATCATTAGAAAGCTTAGAAGCCCAAGATTCATCCTGTGAAAACCATTTTGAAATCGGACATTGCGAAACCATGGAAATGGTACTTTAAATATTTTGGCGGTCTCCTCCCCCTTAGTGGGCGGTGTCAAGTGTCATATTACAAAATGCATTACGCTCTTTTACAATCAAAACTTTTTATAATCGTGACAAAAAATATATCATAGTTTGAGATAGAAGTAATATTGACAGATAAATCTAGACATTTGTGACAGAAAAATGCATTCAAAAATGTAATAGAGTTTGAATGGCACCCGGTGGCTGTTTGTGGTACAACGCCCTAAATAAAATCTCACAGGAACCTCAATTTTTTTTCATATCAACTTCAAATTTGGAACATAACTTATTTAGACATAAGGCTTTAATTGTATACCAATTTTAGAGTAAAACCTGTTATGTAAAATATTATATATAAAATAAAATGAATATAGTGTAATTTTCTTTACAGTAAATTTAAACTACCATAACTTTTTGATACTTAAATTTTTTTTTAATTCCACTTTTGCGATAATCTGCTGATTTTCTTCTTTAAAAAGAGAGCAACCTTATGTCTGTATTCCAAAGTGTTCATAAATTACAACAATTTAAGTTTGGATAGTGCACCTGCATGACAGTTAAGGGGCTAACCTAAATTAATACAATTAATTTAGTAAAACATAATCAATATTATGAAAATATTAATTTAATGTTATCCACATTATATTTCATCTGCAGCAACACTGTGAACTTTTATATTGATAAGTTTGGTCATTAACTTTTAAATGCATCATTATGCAAACACATGAGCAGAGTTCTCGGCATGATAGACCTGCGACTAGCAGATCAACGTACCTCTTAATTTCTCTCCAATACGGTAGGGAATCAAATTAAACGAAATGTGGATGATGTTAACTGTGACAAGATGATTGACAGGGCAATTTAAACAGTCACAGAATGCACGTAACTAAGCAACAGAGTGTCCGTTAAAGAAGCAGCTATGACGAAAGTAGTATGTCCCAATGCTTGCCTACTATTCTTCTACATACTCAAAAGTATGTACTTTTTCTTCACTAAAAGAGTACATACTTTTAGGGCATAGTATAAGTCCATGTCATGTTCAGCAGCAGCAGCTCTTAAAGTAATAGCAGCCAAATAACCTAATAACCCAGCTGCTGTGATGTCTGTTAATCAAAGAACAAAAGAAAAAAGAGGAAATCAATAACCTTTGTAGCTTTAAGGATTCAACTATTTTTATTTTAGAATTTAGTGTTTGCTAACTTTATTCAATTTCTGTATATTTCCGACTTGGTGAAGGGCACGGGTAGCTAAATATGACATTTATTACAATTATTGTAATAATGTGAAATTTTTTTTAAGTTCACTTAAACTAGATGCTATTTTTAAGTCTAATAAATGTTCATATTGATAGCTCTCAATTATAATGCAATGTTGAATGGCTATAGTCAATGGATAAATATTAGGGAAATGTTTTCAAAGTCTCTTATGCTCACCAAGGGTGCATTTACTTGATCAAAATTACAGTTAAAACAACAATACTGTGAAATATTAATACAATTCAAATTTATTTTGCTTCTGTTTTGATATATTTTTTAAATAGAATTTCTGTGATAGCAAAGTTCAATTTTCTTCAGTGTCACATGATCCTTCATAATACATTTGTTTAACAGCTGTGCTGCATAATATTGCAAACACTTTGATACAGTATTTTTTTTTCAGGATTCTGTAAAATATATAAAAAAAATCAATCAATCGGTATGTACCCCAGACATTTGGGGTATTATTTTAAATAAGTAAATAAAAAATCCTTTGTTATGCACTTTATAGGGTACAAATGTGCTTACATTAGCCAAACATCAATAATTACATATAATACATATAGTATATAGTACATAAACATATAGTTGTACAATAATAAACAAATATTATCCAATATTTTAAATACTGAACCTTGATATTATGGTAGTACATTCACCTAAAGGAAGAATAATTACTTAGAGATATATATGATATTATTTCGAATTTGCTTACTTATTTCAAACAAACATCTAACTTAATTATTTTTCCTTCAATTTTCGGCCCAGTATGTCCTGAATTTTCAGTTTCGGCCAAGAATTTTGGCTTTTGATGCATCGCTATGTCTAAGCAATTCTCTATTTCTGTATTTTGCTGACAGAGCTTCTCTATGAAGTGTTTGTATGTCAGAGAGTGAGAGAGTCTTATGTGTGTCCAGTTCAATCCAGCTATTGAATAGTTTTGCTGTGGTCTGGCTCTCTGCATCAGTTGTGTTAATCAGTCTCTCTCTCTCTCTCTCTCTCTCTCTCTCTCTCTCTCTCAACAAGTGCATCTTTGATGTGTGGCGCGCAAGGCCTGCCAGCTTCAAATAAAGCCCCTGTGTGAGAAAAGCCACTATTCACACACTTCTCTCTGAGCTCTTTACACAATGTCCTCAAGTCAATCACACACGCATACACTAATGCGTCCTGCCAATATTTAATCCCAACACGTCTCTGTACTTCACTATAATCCAGAAATAATTATGGTTGGTTACTGGCGTATGGGTGATGCCAAAAATGCTAATGCAAATAAGTAAAATAATACAAACCTCAACTTCCTGCTATATATCTGAAACAAACACTTCTTCCTCCAGCTGTGATATATATGATGTGGATACATGAAGTCTCTTATGCTCACCAAGGATGTATTTATTTGATCGAAAAAATACAGTAAAAAACAGTAATTGTTAAATATTTTTATAATTTAAAATTTTGTTTTTTACTTTCTGTAACTGTGTTTTTTTTCCTATTTATTTATTTTCTTAAATTTTCAGCCTAGTCCAGTGCAGTCCAGTCTTCAGTGTCACATGATCATTCACAAATAATTCTAATTTTCTGATTTGGTCCTCAAGTAACATTTCTTATTGTCCCAAATGAAAATGGGTGTGGTGCTTAATGTTTTAGTGGAAACCATGATTTTTTCCCCCGCAATTTATTTGATGAATACAAATTTTAAAAAACAACATTTATTTAAAATAGAAACTTTTTATAACTATGTTAAAGTCTTTTCTGTCATTCTTGATCAATTTAATACGTGCTTGCTGAATAAAAGTATTATTATTTTAACTTTTTTTAATTATGTGAATTACATTCTTGCGTTCAAAACAGCTGGATGGAGTGGAACAATGTTTTTAAAGTTATTT